ATCTGGGACTCCAGCAACCTGGTTCACACTGTTGGCCCCACCCTGGTGATTCCCTGAGGCCCCACCAAATTTTCAGGCCCACCCAAGCTGTTTCCAAAGGCTTTACCATACGATTGGCCTGTCTTGGATCCTGTTTCAGAGTTTCCTAAAATCTCTCAAACCAGCAGCATCTGGTCTCAGCAAGCCCCATACTTCTTGTTAAGTGGCCCCAGGCCTGGCACTAGAAGCAGCCAGCCTTGGTTCACAACTTGGCTTTTTCTGGGCACATCCAAGCCCAGCACAAGAAGCAGCCATCTGTAGATCACTTTATAGCTTTGCCAGGTGGCCCAGGATAGAACACAGGCAGTGGCTGACCTTGCCCCAGAGCTAGCACACCCAGTGAACAGCTTCAGACCACATCAAGACACCACCACCCAACCACCTCCACAAGTGACACACTCAATGAGTGGACTCAGTGGGTACCAGAGCCCTGCTGAAGTAAGTCTTGCTCTGTGTGGTGGGCCCCTGCACAGCTGATCCTCCAAGGGAGTCAGAGGTCAGTGGTCAGTGGGCACAGCCAGTCCTTGCAGCTGATCAACCTGAGTAAATCCCTCGCATTGATGTGCCAAGAGCAATCAAGACTCAACTACAACAGAAAGGCATACAATCCACACTAGGGGTACACCTCAAGGGCTCAGCTGGGGTGATCAGGGAGGTTGTGCCACTGAATCCTACAGGACACCTACAATAATAGGCAGAGTTCAAAACACTGGTTCTAAGGTTGCTCAAGGAATTTGGTGAGACATTCAAAGAACTTAGTGACACCTTCAAGGAACTTAAGGAGACTTCCAAGGAACTTAGTGGGAATATCAACAACATAAAAAAGGACAAGTCAGAAATGAAGGATGCACTAACTGAAATAAAGAATAATTTACAGAGAATCCATAGTAGAGTAGGTGAAGCTAAGAATCAAACCATTGAATTGCAATATAAAGAAGCAAAAAACACCCAATCAGAACTGCAACAAGAAAAAAGAATTTAAAAATATGAGAACAGTGTAAGGAGCCTCTGGGACAACTTCAAGCATTCCAACATTCACATTATGGGGGTGCCAGAAGGAGAAGAGAAAGAACAAGAAATTGAAAACCTATTTGAAACAATAATGACAGAAAACTTCCCTTACTTGGTGAAGGAAGCAGACATACAAATCCAGGAAGCACAGAGAATCCCAAACAAGATGAACCCAAAGAGGTCCACACCAAGACACATCATCATCAAAATGCCAAAGGTTCAAGACAAAGAGAGAATCTTAAAAGCAGCAAGAGAAAAGCAGTTTGATACCTACAAAAGGAGCCCTCATAAGATTGTCAGCTGATTTCTCAAAAGAAACTTTGCATGCCAGAAAGGAGTGGCAAGAGATACACAAGGTGATGAAAAACAACAACCTACAATCAAGATTACTCTGTCCTGCAAAGTTATCATTTAGAATCGATGGACATATCAGGAGTTTCCCAGACAAGAAAAAGCTAAATGAGTACTATATGAAATGTTGAAGGGTCTTCTTGAAGGAGAAGAACAAAAAAAAAAAAATATGAACAATAAGATGGCAATAAATACATACCTATCAACAATTGAATCTAAAAACAAAATGAGGAAGCAGACTAGAAACAGACTCATAGATACAGAGAACTTATTGTTGCTTGCCAGATGGGCAGGGGCCAGGGGGATGGGTGAAAAAGATGAAGAAATTAAGAAGTACAAATTGGTTGTTAGACTGATGAACCTCAAAGGGAAGGGGGGCAGAAGGGTGGGATGAGATAAACCAAAGAACTTCTATGCATACATGCATAACCAATGGACTCCAACAATAGCGTGGGGAAGGCAGCAAGGGGGCGGGATTGGGGAGGAAGGGTCAATGGGGAAAAAAGCAGGGGACGTCTATAGTACATTTAACAATAAAGATGAGTTAAAAAAAAAAAAAAAAAAGGAACCAGTTTTTCTTAGGGCTGTATTTTTGGCCATGCCTGTGAGTGTTTCTGAGTTGTAACCTTCTCCAGCACCAAATCCTGGATAATAAATATAAAGGAGGCAAAAAGAAAACCCATGGAACTCATCATTTTGTCATTCCACAAGGTCTAAAGTCCTTCACTGGCCTGCCTTCTTCTCTCTAGATTTTAGAATTTCCTTGTTTGTTTTATATATAAGATAAGTAAGCAGGAGGAATAGGGGGAAATGTGCCTACACCACCTTGTCCAGAATCAGAAGTCTCCCCTTTTCATTTTTAAAATAATATTATTTTTATTTCATTTTTTCCATCACCATTTATTCCCCCATACACTCCTCCACTTCCACTTACCCCCACAGTCACCAAGCTGTTGTCCATGTCCGTGAGTTCTTTCTCTTTTCACTTTTTTTTTTTTATTATTAAAAATGTGGCCACTAGAAAATTTTAAATTGCATCTGTGACACATCATGTTTCCATTAGACAGAGCTTCTGTATACCTCAGCTTTCTCACTTGCAAATGAGGGGATAAGAAGAGATATTCTCTAGTCTGTCCTTTCCACCTCTAAAATCCCATGATTCTAAGGATTATTGTTTGGCTTCTGTAGATAATGCAAATGATGTAGATAATACTGTTGTTCTTTCCACTTACCTACATCAGAGTTATCAGAAATGAAATAGTCCTGAAAAGCCCTTCAAATACCTCAAAATAGAGCCAAGGGATAATTGAAGGTTATTATTTTTTAAATGAATGCCAGTATGTTAAAATTTCCATAGGAAGTGGCTGGTAAGCAAGAATTTCTCCAAATTAGTTTATAGCAGGTGCTAATCAGCTCATTATATATATATATATATATATATATATATATATATATATATCCTCACCAGAGGACACTTTTTGATATTTTGTTCAGATAAAGTGGGAGGGAGAGAGAGGGAGAAACATCGACGTGAAAGGGACATATCAAGTGGTCGCCACCCACACAACTCAACCAGGGCCGGGGACAAACTGCAACCGAGGTACGTGCCCTTAGCGGGAACTAAACCCGGGTCTCTCCAGACTGCCGGCCGACGCTACAACCACTGAGCCAAACCGGCCAGGGCCACAATATATTTTTTCATTGTTTGTGCTGAAAAGAGAATGAATTACTTCAGTGGCCCACTTCTTCATATACCTAAATAATGCATCCCCCATTCTGTGGAGAATAAACTAAATTTGACAGAGAAAGGTTTAATGCATAGCTAAAAATGGCACTATACTCTCCTTGAAGGAACTCCCAGTACTCCCTCTCCCTCCTTCTAGAAACTTTCCTTTTCTGAAACTACTAATGAATGGTTTTTGTTTCCTTGTGATTCTCTCTTTCATCCTATCCTCCCACATATTTTGAGAGACTATTAAAGTTCATTTCCTTCCAATATTCATGATAATTAATCTTAAAATCCATTGGCTCCTTCACAGAACAATCCCAGTAACTTGGCCATGAAATTCTGATTTCCTAGAAGCCTTATTTAAAAATTAAGACAGTGCCTTTCAGCTTTCAGTACAAGATAGAAAGTTCTCTCCTCGTTATACAAAGTTCCCCAGTGGTCCAGTTATCTGTTATCCCAATTGCTTTCCTTGCAATATGTGCTCCTCTGTTATTCAACAAAAAAGGGCCTTCCTGAAAGTCATTGACTTCTTTCTCTCAAATTCTGTAGTCTATTTACCACGCCTTCTCATCATTCTTTTCTCTCACTTCATATTACAATGCTCTCTTCTGATTCTATTGAGTATTTCTTATTTTTTTCATTTGGCTCCCTGTCCTTCTCTTCTCATTATCTAATAATATTAATTCTCTGATCCCTTAAGCTATTCTTCAACCTATCTTTTGTTCCTTTATTTCCTGGGAAGAATATCCATTCTCAGTTTCAACTACAGCTTCTATGCCGATTATGCTCCTATCACTATTCCTATCTTCTCATCTAGACTACAGTCCCAAATCTCCCGTCCTACTTAGCATTTCCACTTGCATGTCCCGACCACACCACAAACCAGACATGTCTGAAACAAAATTCTTTTTGCCCTACAAATGACTTCCACTTGAATTTCCTTGTCAAATGGTTCCAAAGTCTTTTGCTTCAATGAGTCTCCAATCCGTAAACTTGAGCTACCTCTGAGTAACACTCCCTTCATTCCATCTTTAGAACCAGGCACCAAATCCAGCATGTTTTCCCCTATAAATGCATTATTTTTTAAATTTTTATCCTCATCCGAGGATATTTTTACATTAATCTTCAGATAGAGGTGGAGGGAGAGAGGGAAGAAGAGAGAGAGAGAGAGAGAGAGAGAGAGAGAGAGAGAGAGAGAGAGAGGTGAGAGAGACACATGGAGTGGTTACCACCCACGCGATCCCATCCGGGCTGGGGACAAACTGAAACCTAGGTAGGTCCCCTTAGGGGAACTGAACTGAGGTCTTTCTGGTCCACAGGCCGACGCTCTAACCACTGAACAAAACTGGTGAGGGCTATAAATGTATTATTACACAAAAAGAAACTTATTGAAACAAACAAGTTGATTTTTTAAAATCCACTATTTTCTTCCTTCTATGGAAATAACTGGCTTATATAAAAAAAAGAAAGAAAGAAAACCATATGGATAAGTTCAAGACCTACTTCAAATCTACTCCTACACTGAGCCAGAACTGGCATGAGGTGAGCCATTGAGGCACCCATGTTGGGGAAACACTCACTCTCAGGGTCTTAGGAAAGCCTATGGGCTCAGCCCAAGAGTGAGTGTCACTTTAAATTTTGCTTCTGGGGTGCCTGCTAACCTCACCCTAGTCCCAGACCTGTGATTGGTCAGATCATCAAAGCCCTCGGTGACATCACATTAACTGTTTCCCTAGGTAACGGGCTATATAACTGCCTACCTCCGGGGCAGTATGGTCTGTTGCTTCAGAGCCTGAAGGGAAAGAGGTCTCAGGTGACATCTCCCAACCTGAGGTAGGCGATCGGTCTGTACCAACTCTACAATGCAGCAATGGCCTGGGCCCCAGAACAGAAGGGGGCGGAGCCGAATCTAAGAGACCTCAGGGCTGGCTGGGCAGGCAGAGATGGCAGGGACCCCAGTGGAGGCGGAAGCGGCAGAGGCGGCAGAGGCGGCGGCTGGAGCGGCTCCTCCAGCCACCCGGGGCCTAGGACCACTGGCCCCCGAGGACCTCCTCTTGCCTTTAAGATACAAAATAGTATGGTTGGTGTAGTGATTGGTCGTGGCGGATCAAAAATAAAAGACATTCAGAGTGTGACAAACACTAAAATACAGATCATAAAGGGTGATACCGAAGCAGAGGTAAAAATATTTGGCAGCAAGGAGATGAAAGCAAAGGCCAAAGCAGCTATAGATATTCTTGCTGAAAAACCAGAAAAAAGCTACAATTCTGAATCCATTCTTGATAATGCTGCATCCAAACCCTCTGGTGGAAGGGACTTAACCACAGATAATATCGTTAGAGAAGTTCGGCCCTCTATAGACTGGGATAAAATTAGGGCAGGAGTTTCCCAATGGGAGAAAAGAAAATGGGCAGATTTACCACCAATTATAAAAGACCTTTACATAGAATCCGAAGCAACAAGTTCACTGTCTCAAATGGAGGCAGACATTTGGAGAAAGGAAAACTTCAATATAATGTGTGATGACTTGAAAGATGGTGAAAAACGTTCTATCCCCTACCCGACTCGTACATTTGAAGATGCTTTCCAGGATTATCCTGACTTAATGAACTATATTAAAAAAGCAGGATTTCAAAAGCCGACACCAATTCAATCACAGGCATGGCCAATTGTCCTACAAGGGATAGATCTTATAGGAGTCGCCCAAACTGGAACAGGCAAAACATTGTCTTATTTATTGCCTGGATTCATTCACATTACTTCTCAACCAACACGTAGAGGACAAAGGAATGGTCCTGGCATGCTAGTCCTTACACCAACTAGAGAATTAGCTCTCCAGGTTGAAAATGAATGTTCTAAGTATTCATATAAAAATCTTAGAAGCATTTGTATATATGGTGGTGTAAACAGAAAAGACCAAGTAAATGAGATCGCCAAAGGCATAGACATCATCATTGCAACTCCTGGGCGACTGAATGATCTGCAAATAAATAACTTCGTCAACTTAAGAAGCATAACCTACTTAGTCTTAGATGAAGCTGATAAAATGCTAGATTTGGGATTTGAGCATCAAATAATGAAGGTTTTACTAGATGTGCGCCCAGATCGGCAGACTGTTATGACAAGTGCAACTTGGCCCGATACCATTCGTCGACTTGCACAATCATATTTGAAAGACCCTATGATTGTTTATGTTGGTACTCTAGATCTAGTTGCTGTAAATACAGTGAAGCAAAATATAATTGTTACCACAGAAGAAGAAAAACGATCTCTTATCCAAGAATTCCTACAAAGCCTGTCACCCAAAGACAAAGTCATCGTGTTTGTCAGCCGAAAACTTGTTGCTGATGACTTATCCAGTGATTTAAGCATCCAAGGCCTATGTGTACAAACACTTCACGGAGACAGAGAACAGAGTGAACGTGAGCAAGCATTAGATGACTTTAACAGAGGAAATGTAAAAATACTGATTTGTACTGATTTAGCATCCCGAGGTCTTGATGTTAATGATATCACACATGTATACAATTATGATTTCCCACGGAATATCGAAGAATATGTACACAGAGTAGGGCGTACTGGAAGAGCAGGGAGGACTGGCATATCCATCACCCTTATGACTAAAAGTGATTGGAAGACTGCCCCTGAATTGATTAAAATTCTGGAAAGATCAAATCAAAGAATTCCAGAAGCACTTGCAATAATGGCTGAAGAATACAAGTTAGGTAAACAAAAAACAGGAAATACAAGACTGTCTCAAAAAAAACCCAAGGCGTTTCATTGAGATCTACAGTGAAAAAGAGTTGTAACAGACTACTAGAAGATTCAACATGTGTTAAAGATACACAGTGTTCACGATACATAAAGAAGTACTGGAAACATACTGGCAGTGTGAAGACAACCAATTCTTAAATAATACCACTAAGCTTTCAACACTGTGTACGCTCTTTAATAAAATAAGAAGTGTTTTGAAAATGAGAGAGTGAGACATTATGTGGGGGAAATAGATACTATGTGGTTATTAAAGTTTAGATTCTATTATAGCCTACCATAACCATCTATGTCTTCTCGAAAAGACTTGGTACTAGATAGCAATGCTTTTCTTGCTTTAAAATAGATGTACTGAATTGAAAGATAGTTTTCATCAAGTTTATCTCAGTCAAAATATTCCATTTTCACCCAGCAGTCGGTGCCACGACAATCCCTAAAAATACCTCCACTATAATTCCCTAATTATTTTGATTCATAAGAAAATAACTGCTAAATCTTCTAGAAGATTCCAAAATTCTATTTATTTTTCACAATAGATATGCCTAACAGAGCAGGGTGTCTGACTCAGTGGGAATCAGACTCTCATACAAACTCTGTTACAAACCATTGGTTAAAAATTTGGGGGAGGTCACTTGCCTTCGGAGGTCTCACTTTCTTCACTTTTACATTTGCATGGTTGTATTAAGTAATATTGGGGTACCTTTCACCTCTAAATTCTATGATATTGTAACCAAAATCATGTAGCCTAGCCTTATATTAACACTTTATTTTCTAATCTAGTGGAAAAGCACATCCTTGTGTAACAAATTGAACAATGAAACCCTTTTTAATAACCAGAATAGTGCATTTTGCTTTTATATTGATTTTTGTGATGTGAATCGCAGGTTGTCTATTTTCTTTTCATCAGATTTTATTTTTCAATTTGTCTTCAAAAGGTCAAAACCACATATATACTTCAAGGGGAAAATGTGAAAGAAAAATATATCTTATATACTGGGAAAAACAGTAGAAACAATCAAACGACACTTCTGCCATAGGAACCAATTTTAGTACAACTCTTAATTTACAATTCTCTCTCTGATGTTTTCTTCAGATGTAATATGCATCTTGTCACATCACAAAAAATCCTCACAATGATGCTACATTTTAAAATTCAGTGTTTTGTTTTTGGGTTTGTTTGTTTGTTTTTTTTTTTTAGAACATTGGAATTAGTCAAGCTTTAAAATTTCTGAAAAAAAAATTAATGTAACAATTTTTTCCCCCAGCATGCCTCAGGTGTGACCACAACAACTAAGTCAGAAATTAAGTGAAATAAAGAGTTAAACACTCTAAGTATAGGTGTTTGAGGTTTCAAGTCTGGCTTTATTTATTTATTTATTTATTATCCTCACCCGAGGATATTTTTCCATTTTTTGTACAGATAGAGTGGGAGGGAGAGAGAGGAAGGGAGAGAGAGAGAAACATCGATGTGAAGGGACACATCGAGTGGCTGCCACCCGCACGACTAACCAGGGCCGGGGACAAACTGCAACCGAGGTACAGCGGGAACTGAACCCGGGTCTCTCCGGACTGCAGGCCGACGCTCTAACCGCTGAGCCAAACTGGCCAGGGCTCAAGTCTGGCTTTAAAGGTTCTTTATATAGGTCTCCATATCTCTTGATAAAATTAAGACCCAGAATGGTTAATATTTTTGACCATCTGATATACAACAGGTGCTTTATCTTATAACCTATAATCTATATAAAAAAAACAAACAAAAACACTCAGAGTATAAAGACTGAAATGGAGAGTCTTAAGATGGCGGCGGGCAGGACTGGAGAGAGGGTGAATGTGTGAGAGAGTGAGCAGGTGTGTGAATGGATGTGAAGGTGGACGACCAAACCCGAGCAGTGCAGAGACGCAGAGAGGAAGGTTCCTGTGCTGTGGATGGGAGCAGCCGGTTGCCACGGTAAGCAGCTCTTCAGGGTGCCTCTCCTTGCACCACTGGGAGGTCCCACCATTTTGGAAGATCCCGGGTCTTCCCTGGGAGGAGGCAGTGGGAGCAGCCAGGGCCCAGCAACCTGAGCTCACCAGCGCACCTGGCACCATCAGACCAGTGGACACTCTGTGTCAACACAGACCAGTGCACAGTAGTGGAGCTCCCAAGGTGCCAGTCGTGGAAGCCATGGACAGCTGGGAGTCAAGCACTATCCCCCATAGTAGCAGCTCAATCGGAGTCCAGATATACTCCCAGCACAGAGGCTGGGGAGCAGACATCCATCCCCAGGCAACAGAAGCACAGACCAGCAGCTGAGACCCATCCCCAAAAACTATAGCAAAAGCTGAGCAGGAGTTGAGCTCAATGGGGCAGCAGCACTCCCCAGCCACCAGCAGCGGGACCTGGGGATCCACAGAGCCCTGTGCAGTCCAGCAGCTCACAAGAGCAGTAGAAACCTCAGACCTAGAGAGACTGGTGCGATCCAGCAGCCTGCCCACTGGAATTGCAGGGTGCTGGGGTACCAGAGAGGCCTGTCAGACCCAGCAGAGACTGTGCAATCCAATGAACCTGTGGACCTGTGGGGTACTGAAGCACCAGAGAAGCCTGTGCCACCCAGCAGCCCATAACATAAGCATAGAACCAGGTCCCCAAAGGGACTATGCCAACCAGTTACCTGCGGGACCTTCAGGGTGCGAGAGCATCAGAAAGGCCTGTGTGACCCAACTGCACACAAGATAGGCTTAGAGGATGTGAAAATGGAGGGTGAGTGAATAGAAGTTACACAATCCTCCCAGGACCAAACGAGAATTAAAATTAAAATAAAGACTAATCCTCATAAAAAATTAACATAAAGGCAGCAGGACAGGACCATATAACCAGGGACACTGGTAGGATCTGCGGTGGCACGAGAGGGTGGTGGGCTGGTAGCCCACTGACATCAACAGTCTTAGCTGTGAGCAGCGCCCTTGGGGAATAAAGACTAACCCCACTCCAAGTGCAGAGAGAGTGGGCAGAGCACTAAAATAGCCAGTCACTCACTTGGGGGCTACAGCAGAGGGAGGGCAGACTGGGCTGGAATTCTGAGGGCACACCTGGGATTTGGAGTGCAATCAGACTTTTTCCTGAGTTGTGGCTACAAAGGAAGGTGGCCAGTGTGCTTCTCCCCAGAGCTGTGGGGAAAAGCAGAAGCCCCCACCCTTGGAGATTCAGCCTTTCCCAGGTGAAGCAAAAAAATGAAAATTGAGGCTCATTAACAACCAGCATCTATCCCACCCTCTGGAAATCCTCTTATGCAGAACACCAGGGCTACATTCCAAGGCACTAAGTAACTGAGACTACTAGCCACCAGGAGAAAGCTAGAGGATACTGAACCTTTCCTGAGCTTGCAAATCAACCCAGGAAAGTAAGACTTGACAGTGGTGTTTAATGTGGGCCCCCCAGGCTCATCCAATACCAGTAGAGGGAACCACAAAAAGCAGAACACCAACACCCACAGGGAAAATGTGGCAGGTTCCAAAATCCACTGAGATAGCCAAAATGGTGAAACAAAGAAACAAATCCCAAATAAAAGAACAAGAGAACTCTATCAAAATTGATCAATGAAATGCAGTTAAGCAAATTATCAGAGTTAGAGTTCAGAGCCATGATCTTGAGGAAGCTCAACAGCATGAGTAAGGACATCAGCACCATGAATAAAGATATAGAAACATTGAAAACCAACCAAGTTTGACATAGCAGAAATAAAGAACACATTGGAAGGACTAATCAGCAGAGTAGAGGAAGCTGAGGACCGGATCAGTGAATTCAAAAGTTCATATGGAACCAAAAAAGACTTCGAATAGCCACAGCAATCTTGAAAAAGAAGAACAAAGTTGGAGGGATCACATCACCAGATTTCAGGTTATACTGCAAAGCCACTGTAATCACAACAGCCTGGTACCGGTATAAGAACAGACAGATAGATCAATGGAACAGAATAAAGAACTCAGAAGTGGACCCAAGATAATATGCTCAATTAATATTTGACAAAGGTGGCAAGAGTATATAGTGGAGAAAAGACAGCCTCTTTAATAAATGGTGTTGGGAAAATTGGACAGCTACATGCAAAAAGATGAACCTAGACCATCAACTGACACCATATACAAGAATAAACTCAAAATGGATAAAAGACTTAAATGTGACTCATGAATCCATAAAAATCCTAGAAGAAACTGTAGGCATCATATACAGCCGAATTTTCATTGATACATCACCTAAGGCAACAGAAACAAAGGAGTAAATAAACACATGGAACTACATAAAATTCAAAAGCTTCTGCATAGCGAAAGATACAATCATCAAAACAGAAAGGCTACCCACTGTATGGGAGAGCATGATTGTCAATGATATATCAGATAAGGGGTTAATTTCCAATATATAGAGAGTGCTCATACAGCTCAACAAAAGGAAGACAAAGAACCCAATTAAAAAATGGGCAGAGGAACTAAATAGACACCTTTCCAAACAGGACATACAAACGGCAAAGAGACATATGAAGAAATGCTCAACATCACTAATCATCAGAGAGATGCAAATTAAAACAACTATGGGGTATCACCTCACACCTGTCAGAATGGCTGCCATCAACAAATCATCAAACAAGTGTTGGCGAGGGTGTGGAGAAAAGGGGACTCTAGTACACTGCTGGTGGGAATGCAGACTGGTGCAACCACTATGGAAAACACTATGGTGTTACCTCAAAAAGTTAAAAATTGAACTTCCATTTGACTCAGTGATCCCACTTCTAGGAATATACCCTAAGAAGCCTGAAACACCAATCAGAAAGAATATATGTACCCCCATGTTCATAGCAGCACTATTTACAATAGCTAAGATCTCGAAACAGCCCAAATGTCCTTCAGTAGACGAATGGATAAAAAAGCAGTGGAACATATACACAATGGAGTACTATGCAGTGGTAAGAAAGAAAGATCTCTTATCCTTTGAGACAACATGGAGGGACCTGAAAAGTATCATCCTAAGCAAAACAAGCCAAA